GGAGGATATGGACGAGGGATGAGAGGGAGCGGGAGGGGGGCGGGGCGTGGGAGAGGGTGTGTGGACCGTTGGGCGTGTGCGCTGCTGTGAGGGAGTGGCTGGGCATTTGAGACTCGACGTCGACTTTCACTGTCGAATGACTTTGTACTATACGTTATCGTGGATTCTTGCTTTCGGACTGCCGCGCATGTTTTCTCTAGCTTACGTCTTGACGAACATTACGGATTGTACTAGTTTTGATCTTACTTCGCTTGGCATCATCGTTTCCACTTAGACCGATCCTCGCAATCGCATCTGGTTCTCCATATCATCTCTTGAACCGCTACGACCACCACCCGCACGACGATGACAGACCTCCTAAGCGTCCCCTCAACCTCGCGCAGCACCCCATCCGGAACCTCTTCCCCACGCTCACCATCAACATCCGGCACGCACACGCCTCTCTCTGTTAGCGGCACCATCACCCCGCTCTCATCCCAAGTCGGCGGCCACCAGGGCGTGCAGTCCACAGCGGACGGTAGCCTCATCATCAAGCCCGCTCTACCGGCCGAAGCGGCGTTTTACCAGCAGTTGGCTAGTGATGCGGGGTTGGATGAGCTGAGGGCGTTTACGCCGAAGTTTCTGGGGACGTTGACGCTTGAGGAAAGGGCGGCTGTTGCTGTTGGGAGGGCTGAGGGGAAGGGCGATGTGGAGGGGAAGGGTGTTAGTGAGGCGTACAAGGCTGCCGAGAAAGATGTATGTCTTCCTTTTCTATATGTGGTCGTGTGCAAGGGCAGAGGGGAGCTGATGAGGATTATTGCTATAGAGCCTGGTGTTGGAGAACGTGAGCCACGCCTTCGCCCGGCCCAACATCCTCGACATCAAACTCGGCACCGTGCTCTATGACGAAAGCGCTACACCAGAGAAGCGCGCGCGGATGGAGGAGACGGCGCGCAAGACGACGAGTCTCGAGACGGGCGTTCGGTTGACGGGGTTTCAGGTACGACTTACGATCTTCCCTATTCGCTTATTCGCGTCTTAGGTGCTCTGGGATTGATTTTGATGTTGGGTATAGGTGTACGATAACGCTACAGGCAAACCAGTTCCTACGGGCAAAGAATACGGCAAATCGATCAAAGTATCCGACCTGCCCGACGGCATGCGCCGGTTCTTCCCCGTACCCTCTTCCTCCTCCACACAAGGTCTCCCCGCTTCGACGCTCCTGCCGATCCTCGAAGGCATCCGCGACATCGTCGAACAGCTCCGCTATGTCCTATCCGAGATCGAGCTGCGGATGGTCGGCGGGAGCGTGTTGATCGTGTACGAAGGCGACGCGGGGAGGGCCGAGGAGTGTGTGAAGTGGCTTGAGGATCGCGCGGAGAAGGCCGAGATGGGTCTTGATGTTGACGAGGAAGATGATGACGATGAAGAGGAGGAGGAGAGTGAGGGTGAGAGCGAGGGTGAGGAAGGAGGAGGAGATGGGGTGGAGAAGCCGAAGAAAGTCGGCGCGCCGTTTGCGGTCAAGTTGATCGATTTCGCGCATACGAGGCTTGTGCCGGGTGAAGGGCCGGATGAGGGGGTGTTGCTGGGGCTGGATACGGTGTTGAAGTTGCTTGCGGGGAGGATTGAGGAGGTTGAGGCACTAGTTAGCGAATGATGACACACAATCATTAGATGTATCTTGACTTAGTTCAGTCCGAATGTAAGGAATACTCTACCAATACTACTATTTACGTGCTTTCCCTTGTTGTTGACGGATGCCTTCGGCAACTCGGACCGATAACCCTGGGCGGAAGACACCGTTGAAGCAGAACTTCATCTCGACTCTCATCTTGACCACCACCATCGCATATACGGATGCAACACGGCTTTACGGCCCATCGTACAACCAGTGAATCATAGCGTGCAGCAATGGCAACAGATGCAGAAGAGTACGTCAGACTGACCCAGCAATACGGGTTTAGTGTTTAGTACTCGACGAAACTGATCATCCCCTCAGCAGCGCACCCGTCTTCTGGAGGGCCACTCGTAAAGCGAGATCTCTACGTTGTGGGCAAACGCGAGATGCATGGGCACGCGAAGTCGCAGCGATGACCGAAGAGCTTGCGTACGCCAACGCGCAGCTGAATACCTTCGCTCCCATCAATGCACTGCCAGACGAAGTCCTTGCGCGCGTCTTTGAGCTTCTGGCTCCCCTCGACCCCATCATGGCTCGAAATCACACCTGGGGATGGGTCTCCGTTACACACGCCTGTCGCCGCTTCCGAGCCGTAGCTCATAACCATGCAACTCTTTGGTCTGAGTTGTCCGTCGATGGAAATACTCCCTGGAACCTGTTCTTGCCAAAGTCACGGCGGACTCTTCTCACGATACGAGGTGAACCAGACTGGGATCGGCGAATATCAGCACGTTACTACCCTACATGCACGATGCAGAACATCGACCGCTTGCAGCACCTCGATATCCAAGAGTTTGACTTCGCTGACCCGGCATGCACCCTTTGGCTCAACGTACTCTCCACCGTGGCCCCGGAACTGCTGTCTCTAAAGCTTGAGGTGGACGACCTTGCCGAGCCACCGAGAGATGGATCGCTAGTTCAATGGCCAACAGTGAGCCCACACTTCCTCTCTCGAGACGCGCCGAAGTTGAGGGAGTTCAACATGTCTGGCATACGAATGACCTGGAAGCTTGATAATCCCATCATGCTTCGCTCCCTACTCCTGGAATGGCGGGACGCTACCCTTCCGACCAGTCAATCACTCTCTGAAGTGTTAGATTGCCTATCGAATCTCCCTCTATTGGAAGAGCTTGTGTTATGGGCAGTGCTCCCAGAGGCTACAGTCGATAGCGCTGGGCGGCACATTGTTCTCTCCCATCTTCGGCTCCTCTTCTTAGAAGATCACAGCGGGCCATGTCTTGCGCTATGGGCATCTATACAAGCACCCTCCCAATGCTCTATCCGCATCAGGCTTGTGACAACCGACGACGCGGGGCAAGCTATGTTACGATCATTGATCAAACAACATCTCGCAAGGCCTGATTGCCCCGTTTATCAGCGCCTGCAGGTTGGCGATTCAGAACGTGATCGCTCCTCTGATCATTCCACTCAGTTCTCTCTGCACACCGCAGTCAGTACGGACGAGGCAAACAACGTAGCTTCCAAGCTAGTGAGGCGCCACTCCGCCACATACACGATCGATGCCACGCCAATGCTCGCTTTCAACACCATCCCTCATCAGGTCGTCCCAAACCACGCCACGGCATTTCTCGGCATACTGGACTTATTCCCCAGTCAACCGATCCGGACTCTGCGTCTGACTCAATGGCTGCCGGTCACAGCAGGACATCCAAACCTGATCGCGTTTGTCACAAGCCTTCTGTCACAGCTTCCAGCCCTGGAGACGATAGAGGTCCGAGACGTGGACGGCAGGTCCAGCAATACACGCTTCTCACTCGGTCAGGCTTTCTGCCTTGGCTTTCTTCAAAATCACACTTCGCGCTCTACGGCGGAGAACGTTGATGCTGACTTCCCGGGGTGTTATCTTCCTCAGCTTCATACTCTTTCGCTAGAGCAAATCTACTTGGAGTTCCAGCCTTCAGACGACGATTGGGCCACGCTGTTCGCCGTCCTGACGGAAGCCCTTGAGCATCGCATCAGAGCGCATGCTCCACTACATACGCTCAAGCTTTCTCGCATGTACCTGCAAGATGGTTGGCGTGAACAGTTGGGAGCGCTAGTTTCCCACATCGAGGAGAGGGACGCCGTGGACGCGCGTGGATTTCTCATAAGGCAATGATTCAAGCGGTGCCGCGCGTGCTTCGCTTGCAATAATCTCAAATGTTGTTTGAAGTTGCTGTAATATCCCGTAGAGAATGCTATATAGGTTCTGATGTCGGTGAGAAGATAAGGTCGAAAACGAGCCAGTGTAGGGGAGGAACTTGGGGTGAAGTCAGCGCTCGTGGTGTCGGACCCGGCGAAATATTAATACTGCGAGCCGAATGATACGATAGACGTGAGCAGATAGAAAGAAGAACAGGAATCTTATGTCACAGAATGATCCTCGGATCACCCTGTACGCTGCGACATCCTTCGGCAATCCGGGCCGACAGCCTCGCGTCAACAGCGTTCAGCAAGGCGGCCCGCCTGACTCTCGTCTCGACCACCACTATATGCGCACGCACACAGAGACACACTGCGCGCTCTCTTTATCTGAACGGAGGCCTGCTACACTTAGCTGGTATTAGAGCAACTTTGGACTATGTCGCTGAATGCACAAGAGTATGCCTTCCTTCTGCGGGCCGCAAGTGGCGCTGAAGTCAGCAGAACTAATGAAATCGTTCAGACCCAATGCGGCTGTATTTTGGAGGGCTACTCGCAAAGTTAGATATCCTCTATATGGGATATCGCGGGATGCATGGGCGCGCGAGGTAGCGGCGATGGCTGAAGAGCTTGCTTATGCCAAGGCGCAGCTAAACACCTTTGCTCCCATCGATACACTCCCAAACGAAATCCTCACATGCGTCTTCGAACTCTTGGTCCCTCTCGACCCTATAAAAGCGATGCAACGCTACTGGGGCTGGGTATCTGTCACGCACGTCTGTCGTCGCTTTCGAGCTGTAGCTCATAGTCATGCTACCCTTTGGTCCGAGTTGACGGTCAATGGAGACACACCCTGGCACTTGTTCTTGCCAAGATCGCAACAAGCCTATCTCACGATACGAGGGCGCGCCCATCCCAGACTGGAAAGGTTGGCATCGCACTACGTTACGTTGTCGTTGCAGAACGTTGCGCGTGTGCGGCACCTCGACATCACGAATACTCCCTTTCTCAGTCATGCAGCCACCCTTTGGCTGCAGATCTTCTCCGACGGGGCTCCCGAACTACATTCGCTGAAGCTCGAGTTGACCAGTGCTATCGACGAAGTAGCAGAGTCGTTGGCCCAACGACCAACGGTGGACCCATTCTTTCTCACCCAAGGCGCGCCCAAGTTGAGGGAGCTGAGCCTCGATGGGATCCATATGTTTTGGAAACTCGAAATTCCCATCATGCTTCGCTCTCTTCACCTGCGACGATGGAACACTGACGACGAACGGCCATCTTTCCCCGATGTACTCAACTGTCTATCCAATCTTCCTTTGCTTCAGGAACTAGTGCTGTGGCGAGTGCTTCCGATTGTCAGTGAGCACGGCACCAAGCGGCGCGTCGACCTCCCCCACCTTCGCTTCCTATCTGTGGACGATCGGAGCGAACCTTGTTTGGCACTTTGGGCGGCCACACAGCTATCTTCTCAGTGCTCCATCCGTATCATGCTTCAGACAATAGACTATGAAGTTCAAACTGCCTTGTGCTCGTTGATCAAACGACACCTGGAAGGTTCAGACTGTCCTGTTTACCAGCGCCTACAGGTCGGCGATCCAGAAGGCGGACAAAATACCAATCTATATATTCGACTCTCTCTGTACGCAGCAATCGATGTCAACGATGCAAGCGACGCGCCTTCCAAACTCGTAGGAGGCGGCGGCGGCGCATACACGGTTGGCTCTGAGCCGAAGTTGGACTTCACATTCCCTTTCGGATTCGACGGCACAAGCCATACTGCCCCATCACACATGATACTTGGATCATTAACCATTGACCAAATTCGGACTTTGTGTCTGACCCAAGGGTTACCAGGCGCATTCGAGTACGACCAATTAGCGATCTTCGTGAAGGGTCTGTTGTCACGCTTTTCCGCCCTCGAGACGATAGAAGTCCGCGATCATGGTCAAACGGCTGGCAATCCCCATCGTTCCTTGGGCCAGGCTTTCTGCCTCGGTTTCCTCCAAAACCACACTCTGAGCTCTACAACAGAGATGGGAGAAGCCGAGCAACCGACACCTTTCTTGCCTCACCTTCGGACGCTGGTCCTAGAGCGTGTGTCGTTGCATTGCCTGTCTTGGAACGCGCAGCGTCGCGTCGAAAAGCCGTCGTTCAAGGTCCTGACTGAAGCCCTACAACTTCGCGCTGAAGCACATGCTCCGCTGGATACGATCAGGGTTTCTCGCACGCCCATGCCGAGCGGATTGCGTGAGATATGGGAGGGGCTGGTGTCGCATGTCGAGGAGTCTGAGGAGGATTTTGTGGACTCGACCGTCGATGGGTCGGATTCGTCAGTTTCTACTCATGGGTCCGAGCTGGGGTCCGAGAGTGACGATGATGACGATTGAGGTGAAGAGATATTCGATCCAGATATATGCACGTTCGCGGGAATGCGTAGAAGTACTCCTTATGGAGAGACATAACAAGACAACAGTTATTACACCTGTCAAGCCGAATGAGGGGGCATGGAAAGTGAGCGACAAGACCACGAGGATGTTCAGACGATGAAGTACGAGTGATGGCAGCCATCAAGCCGAAATAGTAACGGCATTGCAACGACGAGATAACATACAGGCCTGAGAGCGAATGGCGGACGAGGCTTCGCCTCTCCTAGCCAATGTCCATGGGCCCTGCCCTCGCCTTGCCCTTCCCCGCACCGGCTACAACGCCACCATACGCCGGCTCCTCCTTTCTCGCCAACAACGCTTGCACCTCCTCCTCGATTCCTTCAAACACGCTCTTCTCCGGCAACCCGTATATTCTCCCGGGTTGCTCCGCCTCCTTCTCCTCGAACACCGAGCCGACACTCTCGATCCAATGCCGCCGCGTGTCCATCATCGCCTGCAGCTCCTTCGCCACCACAAGCTTGTTGTCATCGTCCGGCCCCAAGCCGAGCGCAGAGGGCCACATCCCGGACGTAGCAGCTGAGATCGCGAGCTTCTCTTCGGCCGCGGCGGCCGCTGCTGCGCCTTTCTTGTGCGACTTCTTCTTCTGGTTGCGGGGCGCGTCTTTGCGTTGCAGTTTGCCGTAGAGGGTGATGATGTTCTGGTCGAGCGTGTCGCGGAGTTCAAGGTATTCTTGATAGGCGAGGCGGTCTTGGGCGATGGATGTGAGACGGGCTCTCCGCGCTTTATTGGTCGCGGCGACTTGGCGGAGTTCTTCTTGCGCATGACGGAGAGCAGTAGCGATGGGGTCATCGACAGTGTCCGTGAAATCGGGCTGAAGGAACTGTGAGCGGATGAATGGAGGATACGCCGAGAGGAACAGCATACCTTCTCGTCTAGGATCCCGTGATATCGCAGGCTATCTCGTATTCGACGCTCGAGGTCTTCAACGATGACCTGTCTCGTGCCCGCATTTCCTACACCAACACCATGCCGTCCGCCCATAGCCTCCTCCGCCGCCTTCACGCTCTTCCAATTCCCATCGTCATTTGGTAACAACGCGCTGACGAGCCGCTCCGTCAACGGTCCATGACCCAGCTCCTCGTCATTCAGATTCTCATCCGAAAGCGTAGCGGGATCCCACCGCGGTTTAGGCGGTACAGGCGGATTACGGCCCCACGAAGCCGCCTGCAGCATCTGCTGCGTAGTCGGCAGCACATGCCCAAACAGGTCGATGTCCTCCTGCTCCCACTGCACCGTGTAATGATCGCCCAGTTTCGGCATGATATACGGCTCGACTTCGTCGCCTGTCCATTCGAGGTATCCGATATCCTCTTCGCGGATAGGGCGTGTGTACGGCTCGATGCTTGCGTAGAAGGTGTGGATAGCGACTTGGTTTGGCGGTTTGGCTTTGCTGAAGTCTTCCATGACTTCGGTAACGTGGCTCGGTCCGGCTATGGGTGGTGGTTGGGGTTGTGGTCGAGGCGGTAGAAGCGGGATGTCGGGGGGGAGGGCGAAGTTGGGACCCTCAGACTAAGAGACCAGTAAGAAGGAGTTGGGCTCGTAGATGAGATGCATACCTTGGGGTTAACGGGAGGAGGTATGAACCCAATAGGCGGTTTGTTGATCTTGGGTATAGCGGGTTGAGCGGCTGGAGGTGGCGGAGGCGTAGGTTTCATCATCTTGAGAGGTGAATCTTCGCACGAAATGAGCTGGATGTACGCCGGTATATGAAATTCACATACCCGAATCGTCGTCGTCATCGTCATCTTCTCGTTTCCGTTTCTTCTTCTTGACGTTCTTCACGTCGTGATGAGATTTCCTGGCACGGATGAGCCACCGAGTAGACACGATTTTAAGCATGCAACTTACGTTTTGCGAGAGTCAAGGGACACTTTGCTGGCGACAGGTACAGGCATAGTTGGACGCGACTTGAGGTCATTGGCCAGTGGTAAGCTTGACCGTGGCGTTTCTGAGTCGATAGACATGGGTGAAACTGAGGTCCGAAGGTGGCGCCAGATAAATCGAGGCAAAGTAACGAGCCAGGTCGTATTTGTATCCGAGTAAATTCAATTGTTGTGTAGTTCAGGTTCACCACAATGAATACCGAACGATCAAGCGGCGAGGTGAAGTGAAGGGGTATATGAGTACCCTGGTCAGCATACCAAGACCGGTATCGGTTGAGGTTTAGACGCACATCCCCGTTCCCTCTTCACCTTTTCGGCTGCCTTCGCCTTGCCCTTCTCCTTCTCCTTCAGCTTGCGCATAGCCTCGTCGATAGTCCGCAAGTCATCGCCCGCTTTCCTCGCCCGGTCCAGACTTTGTTGGCGCAAATCTTCCAGTTGTCTTTGCAGAGCTTCGAGCTCGTCGGCCGAGGGTACGGCTTCTCCCGGGGGACGAAAAGGCGTCGGAGGAGTATAGGGTGTAATGACTGGCATCATGGTTCCGAAGCGAGCGAAGCGCGGTCCGAGCCCACGCTAATATTGCAGGATAAACACGGGCAAATATTGTTACAAGAGAGGTATCGGCTGAGAGGAGGAACAAAGTGAAGCAGTTCCGAGTGGCGCAGTGGCCCTGCACGACTTGGTCGTCGTGGTTTGCGGCGAGCTGATTCCGGCGGTGTGCGCGTCCGAGCGCGTTCCGGCTCTTCGGCCCGCTACTTTCCCGCGCCATTGTTCCTAAACTGGCGAAGGAACGAGCTGCAAGCTCTTGTCATTGACGCTTACATACTCGTCTATACCCCAGCGAGCAATATACCTTTGCACTATACTGTTACTTTTGACACTGTGCGACCGGTAGCCGGCCACTAGCGCGCTACATACATACGTGTTCTCATCAGGTTCGCTGATGCACAGTGACATGTGGTATAGAGAACCTTGAGCACGCTTGGACGCTCACGCTGAACTCGCTCTCCTCTTTCCAGGTTCTGATTCTCAAACCCGAGTACACGTCTACGGCGCAAATAACCATACCGGGAGATCGGTTCCTCGCTACGCGCTCGTGTGACTATACGTACTTGTCAATCACCCGCTGCGTGGTCCTCCGCACGTTCGTACACAAGCTTGTCACGGACGGTCATAAAGACCCGCCCGCAAGCCGACCTATATGCCCCCTCATCCGACCTCGTCAAAAACATCACTAGCTTCGTCATCTACCGAGGAGGAATTCGAGATGAGCAGCCTGCAAGAGGTTGTGGTAACGCCCAATCCTACGCTCGCTACGCGTAACTACCCGACATTCGACGAGGAAGACGATGATAATAGTAGCGACTTGGACGAAGGAGATCGGGCTCTATTGAGTAATGCTCAGAGCAGTCCACGGTGGCGGGAGAAGGCGCCGGAGAGTGCTTGGTCAACAGCCAAGGGCACAGCGCTGGAGGTGCGCTCCGTAGTGTCTATGTCTCGAATCAGTCTAACTTCAGGTGTAGACACTGCCAACTTTGCTGTTCACTACAGTCGGTACAATGCTCACTGGCGAGCTTCTGGACCATGTATCGGTACGTCTTCTATTCGGCAAATTAGACGCCCAAATTGACTGCTTCCCTGTCAGCGCTCGCGTGCCATGACATCTGTCAACGAGCTCATCATGATCATACCCGTCATGCTCAATCTCAAGGGCAACCTCGAGATGAACCTGTCTGCGCGACTGGGTACTGCGGCGAATATGGGCGACTTGGACGATCCTTCGGCGCGACGGTCTTTGATCCTCGGGAATTTGGCGTTACTGCAAGTTCAGGCGTCCGTTGTATCATTCATTGCTGCATGTTTCTCCTTCCTTCTCAGCATCATTATTCCCGACGAGTCCAGCTCGCCTGCTACGCGTGCACCTCGACCAGCCAAGCCTCTTCAGGGTGGTCATCTCGATTCAAAAATGGACGAGTACGCGCATACATATCATACAGTCAACCTACGCTGACCGTCCACAGATTCTTCATCGTTGCTTCCTGCGCCATGGCCGCAACATGCCTCTCCGCCGCCATTCTCGGCTCATTCATGTGCGGCCTCATCGTCCTCTGCCGCAAACTCGGGCGCGACCCAGGTATGTGTGGCACCTCCGCACCTCGATCAGGAACACTCCGCTAACGAACGTTCACAGATAACATCGCCCCTCCCATCGCCGCATGTCTCGGAGATCTCGTGACGCTCATGCTATTCGGCCTCGTCGCGGCGTTCCTCATCAATTTTTCCTCTGCGCCGATTTTTCCGGCTTTGGTTATTTTGCTCATTATAGGAGGAGGCATTTCTTGCGCATTTATTGTGAGGAGGAATCAGTATGTGAACCATTTATTGAGGGAGGGGTGGGTGCCGCTGTTTAGCGCCATGGTAATCACGAGCGGGTCGGGTATCGTACTTGACATGTTTGTTGAACGATATGAGGGTTATGCGTTGCTCGCAATAGCCTTCGCAGGTGCGCGTTCTCTTTTCATCCCCATGTAAACTCTACTGATTGGCCGCCCGCTTAAAGGTCTACCTGGCGGCACGGGCTCAATCCTCGTCTCACGCCTCTCCACGATCCTCCACGCATCCACCGGCGTACACGAGAACGAAGAGATTCGCAAACCCGAGACTTCATCCGTGCAAGGCCCCAGCACCCGCATCGTGATGCTGACTCTCTTTGTCGTCGGTATCCCCGTGGAGATATTCTTCCTAGTTTCGCTCGGTGTACTGGGCTGGCTCGAGACGCCTGTGCTATTCTCGGTGCTCGCTCTGGGATTCCTCAGCGTCGCTGTAAGCGTCTCGCTTACTCACATTGCACTGTTCGTGACACGGGCTTACATATCATTAGGTCGGGATCTCGCTCGTAGTCGCACGATATCTCACGACTATCCTATGGAGACATAAGCTTGACCCGGATATGTGCGCTCTCCCGATCCATTCGGCGTTGATGGATCTCGCCGGGCAGCTGCTGCTTGTCTCGTGCTTTGAGCTGGCGAGGTTGATGGGGCTGAAGGTCACGCAGAAGAAGCACAAGAAGAACAAGAAAAAGCATAGCGATAGGCGGTTGAGTTGAGGATGAGGAGGGCATGGTTCGCCAGCACAGACTACCCTATAGATGACACATAATATGGCATACCATTCTGATTCTTACCGCGGGCCGCGCTTTGACTCGTATCGATCATCAAACCTCCACCTATGGAGTATCTGTAGTGAACTACGTCGTCAGGGCCAAAGTTGCATGGATATTGGATAATTGAAAGATCACGGAGCCGTTGATATTACGATCAGCATTATACACAGTGTCTATGTAGGGTATGACTATGATACACGTATGCGGCAGAGCAAGCGAGATTGAGGAAAGCAATATACAAGAAGAGCAGAGTGTGGTAGCGTAGGAGACGGGAGGGGACTCAGGAGACATGGGATGATGCGATAAATACTCAGGCAAGGCAAGAGCGAAAGCTGCAAAGCAAGAACGAAGACCGACGTTTAAAGAGAATCAGAGAACTCGGACGACAACCGTCGTATCGTCAATCCAGGGCGACTCCATCTCGAGCGTAATCATCTGAGATACGGCTTCGAGATCGTCGCCGCCAAGCGCGGCGCGAAGAACGCGCAACGCCATGTTGTCAACATTAGCGTTTGGCGACTTGACGTCGCCGAAGGCCTCCGCTGCGACGTCAACCCAGTGCTGCGCAGCCTCTTTTCGCTCCAAGCCGTCGTAAAGCTCGCGCAGGCCGTCTGTCGCTAGGATGAGGAATGGCCGAGGGGAAGAAGTGTTGTTGGAATTTGTTGTCGGCAACAGCCGTCGATGGATAACCTCGGGCACGGCAGAAATATACGGTGGGGTGTGGTTGCGGGATAAGAATAACTCCCAAGGGGTAGGGTCGGGCACGCCGGGGTATAAGTTGTACAGTATCCGACGGGTGAAGACAGCGGGCATTTTGAAAGGAGTATCGCCAATACCTATGATAACAAAGACGTAACAAATGTCAGTGGCTGAGGGATGCCGGTGGAATATCGGGCACGTACATCTGAAGGGGGCAATGGTCCCCAAGACGCGCTCATTGAGAACGCTCTCGGGTTCGCCCGGGTGTTCACGGCGGACACGTTCGACTTCGGCGGTGTTCTGCGCATTGTGAATCTCATTTAAGAGTTCACAGCGCCAGCCGCCACTAGATTGTGGCGTCGCCAGAGCTACACAAGGGCTCTTATTCAGAATGATGAGACCCTGAACAAGAGAGATAGGTGACTAACCCGCTTCACAGTCGCCCAGACTAGCGACCCAAAGATTCTCATGGCTGGGGTCAACTAGAGCGACAAGGGCGGTCGTCCCATACATGCACAGCTTGGCCTTTTTGTAATTCTCTCCGGAACCCTCAAAGTCGTTGATAATAGTAGCGATCTCCTCATCAGTGCGCGAAGAAAGTGACTCCAGGCCACCGGGGAAAAGAGCAAGCACGTCGCCAGCTATAGCCTCATCGAAAGAAGTAATTGCCACCGAGAGTATACCGCGAACAGTTTCAGGATCCAGAACAGCAGCGCCGGAAGAGCAGTCCGCCGCAGAAAGACGTTTCTCCAGATGCTCTGTTACGATGATCGGAAGATGATATGCGGTGTGCGCGACCGTCGCATCTCCAAGATGTCCTGTATAATTTCGAAACGGCGTCAATACATAACGCATCTGAAACACAGCAACGCATTACAAACCGTCGAATACGGCAGTGAAAGACCACCTTTGTCCGTGGACCTCCAGCTGTCTCATCACATAGCGGTCTTGTGATAGAGCAGATGAGCATGGCTGGAAAGTGACGGCGTCTGCTCGGGCGGCTCGATGCGCGTCAAACGCGACAGTTTCCGGATGCGCAAGGGATCGCAGGCGCGCATCCACCTCTGAAGCGGATAAATGCTCAAAGGTGCATTTGAGCGGCGCCGCGTCGTCCGGCCGCTCTACAGTGACCAAAGGGATGGAGCCATTGCCGTTCGCCGAATGAACAGGCGGAGGCGTCGACTCGCGCGCGGGAGAGCGCAGCCACTGGAGACAAGACGACCAGCGCATGCAAGGGTGCGCAGAACACAAAGGGGAAATAAAGTGAAGGCGCCACGGGCAGGAGGAGATCGCGTCGCGGTATATATACATATGACGGGCCACGCTCTGAACTTTGATCGTTTCGGGACCACGCAGTTGCCGGGATCGCGGGCAACGACGTTGCGCTGACGGGTTACTAGCGCCTCGCTCGCTCGGTTCCTTGGTCGCACCCTTCTCGGTCCAGATGACGCGCTCGTGGGCGACGCTTTCCCGTACGGACATACCACTGTGCTGCGTCCAGAAAGCAGTCCGTACGCGGTGCCACCTCGGCGGTGTGGGTGTGTGAGGTGCCCATACGAATGCATGGGACGGCGTAATATCAATATAATCATCACGAGCCGGCGCAACCGAACACGCAAGTCGCCGAACTAGCATACTTACCCAACCCGTCCTCGCATTCAGGGCACCAGGATGATTGCGTGTGTAGTTGGACTGTAGTGCATATGGGTGCGCGCGCATGTAAACGTATGCTCCGTGCGCGCCGGGGGCTTTGTGGAACAAAGGATAATCCCACAGCGACCCGCCCGGCAACCCTGACTCCCATCGCAGGCCGCTCATCGTTTCATCTCCTACCCAACATTGCACAGCCGACGCGCGCACCAACGAGCGTCGCCCGGGTGTTTTTGACGACATTTTTCTAGCGCGATGATCCACAAGCCGTTGGAGCGTTTGAGCGCGACGCGAAGACACAAGCTCAGAGTTCTCGATCCGACATACGTATGTCGAATATGACATAGGCACAATGGGCCGGCCCAGTCGCGTTGCGTCTTGTGGAACGTGTGTGGGAGGGCGGCTCGCTATGGGCATACGATCCCCCAACTGTGCGGGACTCGCAGTACAAGCTCATCCATCTTCAGCAAAGTTCGTTCTGAAGGTGGTGGTTGGAGGACAACCTTCTCGCAGTCGGCACCGCCGAAGAGAAGATCCCGTCCCAACGCGATCATGTGAGTTTCGAGCTTAGACAATATTGGTATCAAATGAGGTCAATTATCCGGTGTGACGAAATATACAGTAAGCTTCGCAACTCGTCTAGAGGTATGCGAGCGTGCGAAAGGTGAGTATGGTAAGGCTACAATGATAGAGTGCGTGTAGATGTGTATGGTCCATGCTAGTGTGTATCGTAATGAGTCCATGCAGAGTCATGTCGGTCCGAAAGCACGTTCAGCGCCATTCATCGCCTAAAGGGGTTGGTCGATTGTGTTGTCGCGCCAGTGTTGTTGGGCTTCAACCAATAGCTGCCACGTTCTCCTTCAGGTTCGGAGGGCACCGGGCTCGCCGTCCTTACAGACTGAGCGTATCGCTGTGCCTCGGTCTGGTATCGAGGGAACGGCGTGGTGCCTACGGTCGTCCACGAAAAGCGTGATGCCATGGGAGCAGGATCCCGCACCGGCTGTCGCGGAACGGGAGCGCGCGGTGGTAGGCCTGTGACCTGAGAGTAGAAAGATTCGTGGTCTCCTCCACTCCAGCGCTGTCCGTGCCCATTCAGCGAGGACGCGCGGGAGTGATCGTGATACGAGGGAAGCGACGACGGGCCGCCGAGTTTCCCCATCACAAGCGCATGGCGTTCCTGTTCAGCGTTCCGAAGTTTGAGCTGCTTGAGTCCCGCGCGCTGACGCCTCTCCTCGGGGTTACCACCTCCAAAGAGCCGCTGACCAAACTCCGCCAAACGCCATCGCCAGTTGCCGCGGTGGAGGTTCTTCGCAGCCGCAAACGCCGCCGTTGCCTGAGCGCGCTTCTTGAGCTGGCGCCTGCGGTACAGCCAGAGGATCGCGACGAATATAAATGCGCAGCCGAGCGCCATGAGTAGGATTTGCCACCACTCAAGACGGGCCGTGGTCTTCGTCGTGTTGGATGCGGGCGCCGTGAGCCCACTGATGGTGGGAAGCGGTGTAGTGGTCCCCGACGCTTGCGGTACGGCTACGAGGTCCGAGAGGCAGACGCCCAGGCCAGATATGATGGAGCTCGAGTTCGAACACTTCGCGTCTACACAGGTTCCTCCACTAAGCTTCTGACTCGAACTGGAGCAGGCCAAGCAGCTACTCGGACCAGAGCCGGAACAGCTTGAACAGCTCGAGTCGCAGGACTGGCACGAGCTTGAGGCGGTATCGAAGAACTGGTTCTTGGAACAAGTCGGCAGACAACGACCATTGGAAAGAACGGGACGTTCGGCAGGGCAAGAACTGCACTGACTGAACGAGGTGCCGGAGCAAGTCGCGCAGTCGGGGTGGCAAGCTACACAGGCCCCGGACGAGGAGAACGTGTTGGAAGGGCAAGACGTGACGCATTGGCCATTCGAGGCAAGGGCGTTGTTCGCGCAGGTGAGACAGAAGTCGGCAGATCCCGCGCAAGTACCACAGGTCGAAGAGCAAGCTGGAAGAGAGCGTCAGAGATAGACAGGTAGGGCAGTGATCAGGACAGCGTACCGGTACACGTCAGGTTATCCTTCGGCGACAAGAATGTACCGCTTGGGCAGCTCTCAACGCACTGACCGTTGTTCAGGACGAACCCTGGAAGACATCCGGTGCACTTCGCCTGATCAATAGTAGATGCGACGTTGAAACCAGAGATCGCACAACTGGTGCACTTCGAAGGGCACGCTGGGAAAAGTCGTCAGATAAGGAAGATTGAGAATGAACGAGAGAGTACTCACAGTCACACTCGTGCTTGTTGTTGTTCGCGACCATACTCGAGCCGCTACAGACACCGTTCGAGTCGGTCGTAACGCAAGTCCCATTCAGCTTATACTGGCCGTTGGCACATACGATGCAATCGTTCGACGTTGGTCCATTGCATGTAGTACAGCTCGTGGAGCACGCCGCACAGGCAGTCCCGTTGCTAAAGCTGCCGTCGGGGCACTGCGTGCCGCTCGAAGTGACGGTCGTCGCAGCATTGCACTTGGTCCGGTCGTTCGCGTCCTGCGTGAAGCCGGACGCACAAGCAGTGCAAATTCCACTGCCGCTCTCGCACTGATCGCAACCGAGCTCGCATTTCGAGCAGTCGCCATTAGAGTCGAGGAAGAAGCCAGCAGCGCAGGCGGCGCACGCGGTCCCGTTTGATGCGGCCGTCCATCCGGAGTTGCAGGTGCACTGGCCATTTGACTGGCATTGACCATTGAGGCAGTTGCAGCTGGAGGGAGGGTTGGACACAATAGGTGTGAGACAGCGTCCGGACCCGGAGATCCCCTCATCGCACGAGGTGCAGTTCGCTGGGCACGCCTGGCAGGTAGGGCCGAAAAAGCCGGGTGCGCATGTCTCGCATGATTCGCCAGTGAAGCCGGTAGGGCAGCTGCATTTGCCCGAGGTAGTGCAGAGACCCGCGCTGGAGCATGGCGTCGAGCATGAGCTGGATTGCATGTCCACGAGGGTTAGGCTCGTCAAGCCGTTGATCTGCGACGTATCCGGGATCGAGTCCCAGAGAATCATACGGCTCTGGGATGTGCCCGCCTTCACCGCCAGCCACACGCCATCGGAAATCGCGAGTGAAGACGCAGAGAAACCACTACTTGTGTTCGTGGCGTTCTGGGGTAGAGGCGCGAAGCTGGCTTGGCCAGCATAGAGTGGAGACGAGTAGATCGAGAAGCCAGGCTGTAGGGCGACACCGAGCGGTAGTGGTGATGATGAAGAGGACGAGTTGAATCCAGGCGAGGGCGTGTATTGCGTTGAGGAGCTCGTGAGAATCTCGTGTAGGAGTTGGGGGTTGGTTGAAGAGCTGTACTGGCCCGGAAGTAGCTGGACCTCCACGCCTACGCTGGGCGAATTCAAACGAACACCAACTGATGGGCCTGTCAGCAGAGTCTATGATGCACAGACCAAGTTCAACGCACTGGTTGTATTTGAGAACCCCTCCAAACATTGTCCGGCAACACAGACGACGGACGAGTTGGACTGCGCCAAGGCGAAAGACGCGCCGAGAAGGGCGCCAGCAAAGAAACGAAAGGTAGTCGGAAGCATGAAAGACGTAGAGGGGAGATGCAAAAGGAGGGGGTAAACAAGTCGCGCTCAGCGCCGACAGGGTAAAGAGGGGAGACTACCATAGAGGGCGCTCCTTTTGATCGTAGAGAGAACAATAGGCCTGGAATTCTTGTCCACAACCTCACTCACGCTGCGCTTGATCCTGTTTAATCCCGCGTGGCCAGAACGCCGGCGCTCAAACAAAAGGATAACAAGGCCGAGCCGAGAATGGAAAGGCCCTTCTTAACCCTCGCTGATGAAAATGAAGGTGCCCTGACGACGCGACGGATAAATTGACCTTTTTCTGAGCCCCCTTGTTCCACAAACGGGTGAAGGGTACCATCTCCGTGCTACCTTCATGTCCTAAGCATACATATCGCAAGCCAGACACGCTCGGGTATATATAGACAGCCGGGCACGAGTGACGTTCTTTGCACGAGAGGGAGGCGGAGAGCAAGCGGGAGAGTGGGCAGGAGAACAATGGCGTGAGAATGTTATGTCACGCGTGCTCGGCTGTGACGATCCGCGTCGCCGTCGCCCAAAGCGCGACTCAGACGCCGACCTCGACGACGGCGGACCAGTATAAGGCCTATTCATCCTGCACAGGCTTCAAACTCGCCGCTATCTCTTCATAATGAAAAGAACCAGAGCAGGAGCCGCGAAACTAGTATCTACCAAGAGCGAAGCCAACTCTGCTGTAACGCTATTCGCGTTGGACACCAATACGACTTCTGATACAAGTTCAGATGTATCTCACCCGACTGGACACAGTGAACCTGCGTTGGATCATACATCACCTAGGCGATCTAAACGCCGACGCGTTGAAGTAGAAGAGCTTCAGTCCGCCAGCGACCTCAAAGCGACGCGGACAGAGTGCATTGTTAGTGAAACAGAGGTCTTTCGGCCTGCTCGCGCAACCACTCCCAAACCGAAAAGCCAGACCTCGAGCCCCAAGAAGAGTAGAGCGAATTCATCCTCCCCGAAGAAACAGAAACCCGTCCCTCGCTCTTTGGCAAACCCCCATCCAGCACCCGAACACTGGCGAGAGGTATACGATGCTATCAAGGTCATGCGAGCCGGTCGCACAGCTGCCGTGGACACTATGGGATGCGACCAGGCGCAGATTGCTGAAACGGACCCGAAGGTAGACACTTTCTGAACCTTCGTTGTGACTACTGATGCTGACTGAACCCGTAGAGCAAGCGCCTAACCACACTTGTCTCTTTGATGCTGTCCTCTCAGACGAAGGACGAAGTCACTGACGCGGCGGTCAAGGCTCTAAGAGCTGCGCTCGGTGGCTCTTTGAGCCTGGACGCCTTACTCAATGCGAAAGCTAGTACTATATCCTCTGCGATACAGAAAGTCGGCTTCTGGCGTAGAAAGACTGAGTCAGTCTGCTCCGTCGAAAGTCACTCCACTGAATGCTGACAAGCTATAGCTACATCATGCGTACAGCCGTGATGTTGCGTGACCGCTTTGACTCGGACGTGCCCAAAGACATAGACGATCTCTGTTCTTTGCCTGGAGTTGGACCGAAGATGGGCTTCTTGTGTCTACAAGCGGCCTGGAATATGTGAGTGGAAGTCTCATCAAGCACAGGTTATGGCACTCAAACTACTACAGAAACAGCGGCATTGGAGTCGACGTTCATGTCGACAGGATCACGAACCGCCTGGGATGGCACAAACCGTCAACGCTGGGTCATCCCGAGAAGACAAGGTAAGAGAACACATCCGTGCCGATTGACACGTACCGACTGATGTATTACGCAGGTTGAACCTCGAGTCTTGGCTGCCCTCTGAGTTGCACCACGAGATCAATCACTTGCTCGTCGGATTCGGTCAAGTGAGCGCTTCGAACCGTTCCTAAAGCGGCCTTACTGACGATGCATTTGGGATTGTAGGAAATATGCCAGCCGGTTCGGCCCCGGTGCGACGAATGTACGCTGAGCAAGACCGGTTTATGTCCGAGCGCAGAGACCGTGACCAAGTCTGAAACCCGCAAAAAGACGGTTGTCAAAACTCCTTCGGCGAAGATCGAGATTGAGTACGAGAAGGCGTCAATCGTCAACGAGCCTCCGTCAGAGTAGTACTGGGCTCCTTCTTGCTTTCCCTTTGTCCTTCTGAAACACCGAACATTCATCCACTGGCCGTTATGGGCGGGGATCTCCCTCATGTTGATACCGGAAACGTCTTCTACCGTTAGTTCTGTTTTGGGCAGACGGTGATGCATGATGAGACTTCGAATGCCGGCGCGAATCATCCGAAGGCTTCTGGCGGACCATGTCGGCTAATGGCGCGCAACGCTCGGCAATGCATCTGCAGAATGCATGTCCGGGTGTCGATGTATATAACCGTTGGCACCCTGCTTTTTTGGCTGCCGCCACGATGGGCCAGTTTCTCAGCTTCTTGAACCTGATATGGAAGTCCTGCAAGGCCTGGTGGACTCGCAACGACTGGGTCAAGAACGAGGAGCCGTTAGCCCGCTACGTTCCTGGGGGCTACTGCGCGGTAAGTATTGGCGACCGTATAGGCGTTCGCGCTCGGTATCGCATTCTGCGGAAGCTGGGATGGGGCGGGCGCTCTACTGTTTGGTTGGTCGAATGCAAACAGTAAGCGGCGTCGGCCGGTTCTCGACCTTCCCGGCCGTCATTAACCTTTCCCGCCGGTAGGACGGGGAACCTATTCGCCCTGAAGATACTTACAGGTAAGATAAGATAAGCTATTCCTTCGCTAGAATGTCTCTGACAAGGGTTAGGGAGTGCAACCATCCAAAACGGCGAGCGAGATCTCAAGCTCTTCCATCGTATTCGTGACGCGAAGATTGATGATCCCGGCGGCCAACATCTACTACAACTGCACGACCACTTCCTTGTCGAGAGCCCCAACGGACGGCATCTATGTCTGGTGCTTGACCTCGTCGCGCCAAATGTGGCATCCTTCAGTATACACTGGGCTGGCCGCCGACTTCCGGAAGAGTTCAGCCGGATCGTCGTTCGGCAATGCGCGCTCGCTGTCGCCGCTCTGCACCGCTGCGGCGTTGTTCATACGGGTACGTGGTGCCATCTCTTCGCCGTTGACTGCGGTCATCGCTAACATATCGTCCATCGTAGACATCAAGCCGATCAACATCTCCCTGGTTCTACCGCCATACGTGGACAAATGGGCGCTACTTCTTGGGATGAAGGATCGGCAGTGCATTACGCACACCAGTCCAACCGGTATCAAGGTCACTCGCTTCTGTACTAAACGGGTATCGTACCCGATACCCTCGGCCTCCGACCAACTGTCGGCGCGCGTCTGGAGGGATGTTCATGTCAAGATAACGGATTTGCACTCAGGTCGGTATCCCTCACCTTTACGAGTTGGAGCATCTCTGCTTACCCACACTGGTTCGCCAGCGCATGTCCTCAACCAGGGTGTGAAGCGCAAGATACCTGTCCGCAGTTCGGCGTTACGGGCACCCGAAGTTTGCCTTGATGGACCATGGGGCTGTCCCGTCGACGTCTGGGCCCTCGGCTGTCTTGTATGTTCATCCTGTCGACGCTCACATCAAGCACTGACAGATTCGCGTATCTCAGGCCTATGAGTTGTGTATCGGGCAGTCGCTCTTTCCTATCGGCACAGACTCGTATTCCATTCCCTATCTTCACGTCCTGCAGTTCGGTCCGTACCCAGACAGCGTTCTCGCGCGCGGCCGCAACAGCCCTTTCACAGATCAACGTGAGTGGCGCCGGGATCTTCATATCCTACATGCGATTGATCGCGGCCTATAGGTCTCTTACAGGTAACGCTTGCTCGACGCACCGAGTTCCGCGTGTCGCTCGAGACGACAGCCCAAAAGGCCGGCGGGGCACCTCCGGATCGCCAGAACTTCCTCGACTTTCTTGCTTGGGCCCTCACGTTGGACCAGGTGGAGCGCCCGATGGCGGACGAGCTATTGAAGCACCCTTGGTTGCTGTCTTTGCGCTGAACTTTCCTACTCGCATGCACACTACTTCATCACGACACACGACGAACGCTGCATATCATACTGTACAATGCTATTCCAAACAGACTAGATACACGAAACTAAAGCAAAGTATACATCGGCGCAGCCGGGATAGATGGAGCAAAGCGCGCAGTGTGAGCAAGAGATGTAGATCGAGAAGGATAGGAGGGCGCCGGCGGTGTGCAACTTCAGCCGAACGGGGAAGAGATCACCGGACTGGTTTCGAACTCAAGCAACGGTTTGGCCGCTCTTTTCGAAAGCTTATCCGCGTAGATCATGCCACCGTCATCATCATGCTCGATACTCCAGAAGAAGGTCTCCTTCGGCGCCGGTTTTGGCGGAAGCCATGTTTTCCCCTCTTCCTGGGGCTCGTTGGGTAGTCTGCGGGCGCTTTGTTAGTATCGAAAGAACGCAGGTCGCGGGGCGAGACGTACGGGCCAAACAGATCATTCGGAAGACCAACGTGGCGTAAAGAGCGTGCAGTCTGCGCAGTCTGGATGACCTGTTAGAATTTGTCAGAAAGTCCGGCATCTTGCGTGTTTGGCAGTTCGGGTCACTCACAAAGTCCTCCGACTGCTCGTGCGCCTCTTCGATGCCACGCGGGTTCCTGTACTGCATGGCGACCTTCTCTCCAACCTTGATGACGAGTGTGCGTACAGTGCCCGTTGCGAGGCACAGCAAGCGAAGTTGACTCTATAGGGCGTACAATGGTGAGCGGGATCGACGTTTTAAATCATCGCACGTACTTGAAGCTTCTCTCCCTCGGGCCACTGAAGCAATACAATCTCCAGGTATCGAAGAGGACGAGGCAGGTCCCGCGGCATCAAGTTGAGCAGCTCAACATCCGCAGTGTCCGGTACGCTGACCTCGAGGCAGAGCTTGGTTGGGGCCAGCTCCTGAACCACGGAGTGCATCCATTCGACCCTAGTGGCTAAGAGCGGAAGGTCGGTGATTTTCAGCCTGTCGACCTGAGATCGTAGCGCGAGGATGTACAGATGCTCGAGCGCGCCTTCATAATAGGCCAGACTGCTCCATCGTGCAAAGCGCTGGCCACCTGAGTTTGCTTCGCGGAGGGAAGCAAACGTATGCGCTGGGGGCGGCATCGCATTCTCGCCCTCGAACTCGATTGCCTGCCAGCCGAATGGCGCGTTGGGGTGTACGAAGAATGCAGAGGCACCCCGTCGTCCCAAGGAAGACCCCGGGAAAGCAACGGATTGTACGTTGGGGAAGACGGCAATGAGAGTGTCGGTATGCCGCGGAAGCGCGTAGTAGGAGTGTGTCATGCTGAGCACGCGTACTTTGGGAAAGACGATGTTATTCCCAAGTGTTCCCTGCGCAAGACCCTGCTGCAGAGGTGTATCCTCGATATGTAGCTCCTGTAGAGAGTCTTTGAATCGGGCCAGAAGATACATTATCTCTGCCCTGTTTGCTCGACTGTGAAAGCTCGATATGATTATGACTTCGAGTGGGATACCGACAAGCCTGTCGAGGAAGTATGGAGATGTTGCAGGGTTCTGTCCTCCTGCCGCCATCAATGCAGCGGCTGCCGTGGTCGCGTTTCCTGAGACGTTTAACCGCGCCGGGGCCTCAAGCCTAATGCGACGTAGCGATCTAAACGGCGATGGCAATTCGCACATGGACTGGGCAATGCTCGGAAAGCGGAAGAAGGAATGGTGGAGAGATAGCGCGTAGAGATTCGTGGATTGTTTGAGCAAGTTGACGAGGTTGTTCAGCGAGTTTTCATCATGCGTCCACTGCTGTATTTTTGATGCGAGATCAACCATACGGACATGTGCGGACCTTCCTCCGGTGCCCTCGGGTATATTGCTGTTCATGAAGGCAGTGAGCGATCGGACGTCGCTGAGCGTCCAGAAGGTGATAGGGCGATCTTCGCCGAGCAGGTAGCGCACTCCGTAGCGGCGAAGGTCTTTGCAGGTTGACATCAGGGATATCAGAGTGGATCTGGAGAGGTATTCCGCCAGATGGAGGATCACGTCCCAATTGAGGAGGACGGACGACCTATCGGTGAACGAGACGCGGTAAGCGTCGTCATCTCAAGAGTAAGAACTGAGACCGTCCGTGCCTTCTATAGTACACATAGTCGCTCATCTCCACCAAGGTTCAAATCTCTTGGATGTCAGACTTGATGCGGCAATGAAGGTCAGAGGAGAGTGCCACTTAGAGCTGGAACTAGGAACGTTGTATCTGGGCACGCGTTGCACACGCGTGTGACGGCGCGTTGTGTCACGTCGCGTTGATCGCCGTCGCGCCCATTCTTCGCTGCCGCAGTTGTTCGCACTTACTTCACGCACCCACTCTCACGACGCCGTATTTCTCGCTGGCATGGCTTACGACGCCCTTTCTCCTTTGCGCGGCGACTCAGGAGCCAATAAGCGCAAACGTGGCCTTACACGCGGTAGGGGCCGAAGTTACTGTTCTTGAACTGCAATCTCTAATTAACGACGTACATAGACGACCTAGACTTGACGCACAAGTTGACCGAGTACAATGACGAGGTATGTAAACTATGCTATATATATGAGCACGTGCTGAGTGGCTATGCATTCTAGATCGTCGAGGCTATGCGCGTCCGCATCCTCGAGCTCGAGCAGCAACTCGCCGCAGCCACCGCGCCACCGCCCGCGAAGCGCCAGCGGAAGTCGACCGCCGCTGCAGACGCATATATTCCCGGCGACAATGATAATGACGCGTCTGATGCGTTGACGCCAGCCCAACAAAAGAAGGAAGATAAGAAGCATCAAGCCCAAATCAAGAAGCTCTTTGACCGGCAAGTGCTCCGTCATTCTTCGTCACTCATTTAAGCTGACCCCTCCGGTCTCGTTTCAGGCTCAAGAAGGAGTGCAAGTCTGCGGATGTCAAGTTTCAGGGCTCGGACAAGAGTGTCAAGTTCGACGAGGTACTCGAGAAGACGGAGTTCGATGCTCTGTTCAAAGGCCAGGGGACGTTGATCCAGCCAACGCCGCAGAACAAGCCAAAGTCAACCGTGACGATAATCGAGTTCAACGGTTCGCAGGCGAACGCGTTCTTTACGGATTCGGGCGCAAAGATCGACACGCTTAAAGGTACTCGCTGGACTATCGGCGGTACGCTCCTCCTCTTCGTCTCTGATTGACTGAGAACTGACACGTATCATTGGGACAGGCGGCCCCCGTTTTGTCAAGTCGGAGAAGATCGGCGCATGCGATGTACGCATCCAGAGCATGAGTGTGCAGTACTCTGCCAACTCCATGAAGGCGACGCTCAAGTTCGACGTCTACGAAGTCGGCGGCGGGTCCGTCTACGGCACCTCGCACAAAGCGTACGGCGGCTTCGGGCGCATGTCAATGGGCGGCATGTTCTGGTGAACTGCTGCTTGTCATCCATTTGCCTTCATTCTCGTCAGGCTCATACCTTACTCCCGTGTAAACGAAGCAAATACCCTATTGTCGTTACCCTTTTGTTCCCGTACCTCCCTGCTTAGTCCGGTTCGGTCATTGTTGCATACTGTACCGTCATCGTCGCATAGTGCTCTACTTCTGTCTATAGTTGCTTACCTGCGTTGTACTGCTCTTTTTAGTGAACCTCTTCCTGTGGAATGAAGTCGTCGTTGTGCTAACGTAGAGTTTGCTTGACGAATGACTTCGGGAATAGTCCCGCAGCAAAAGACTTGACAGTGATCCTACGCAGCACGCCGCCGAAGTTCCACAACTATAGACCTAATCAAATGATGCGCGCGGGCACTACTCGCTCCACTCCCTCGGCCATATCCATACTGGCCCCCCTTGATGCCTATCTCCCCAGCGACCCACCAACCCAAACGGTGTCACACATCCCCGCCAGTCCCAACGCAACTGATCATGGGTGTACGACTTGATCCCGTCAAATAGACCAGTCCGTCTAGCCACGCGTACTGAGAGCGTGAAAGAGCCGACGTTGTCCTGTCCTTCTCCAAACAGGTGTATCATATCCTCCTGAGCGACAGCAACGGCGAGGTCCAATATCATTGGTGGGTCGCGGTATCTACCTATGCTCCGCGCATAGTAACCGTAGTATCCTCCCCATGCTCGTCGTCCACCATCGTTCGGCAGATGGTGTAAGGGGGTGCCCTCTAGACTGTGACGGGGAAGCAAATCCGTCCAGATGCGTGCACCTTGTCCTCGAGGTAGTCGTGGCGGAGAAAGAGAATCATCTTGCGAAGGGGAAAGACGTAGGTCCAGATAGAACGCCACTATGCAAAGGAACGAGGACGAGAACCGGCGTGTCTCAGTAACGGTTTGTGGGTAGTTGCCGTCGTGAGCAGTGGCAATCCATGAGCCAAAGAAACGCTCGTGTGTAAGGCGCGCCGTGTTATTCGCCCAGTGGCGTGCTGTATACGCGGGCCAGATGTCCTCCCTGAAAGCTCCAAAGATGCGCTCCAGATCAGCTTGATCGCCTATGCAGAATCGTATTGGTGAGTCAACGTAATGACTATTGCAGTAGATGCTCACACGAAAGAGTAAAGTGAGCGAAAGCCGATGCAAACCGCTCAAGGTCAAAGGCATGGTAGAGGACTGCGCCGAGGTCGGGAGTGAGATCTGGGTAGAAGTCCGGAGGCAGTATGACCAGGCGCTGGGTCAGCACTCGATTGTGCACCAATCCCAATAGTGTACGTAAAACGACTTTCCAGACATTCCCGTTTTCCGCTAAAGAGATGAGCTTATCCAGGTTCCCCGAAGCTGAAACATGTATATCAACAACAACACCTTCGCCAGTGCACTAGGTATACACGTACTGCGAGAATTGTTATGGGAGAGGACATGACTGAATGGCCTGACAAAGCCAGTCATCCATGTCCACACTCCATCTCCGTTGATCAAACGTAGATGCTCTCCTTGTGCAAGTAAGTCGTCCAGGGCACGTATATCGTCCTCCCCACAATCGCACAAGACTGAGCCCCATTGGGTGAACGTAAGTCTAGGGTAGTATACCCGATACAGCGTGTCATGCAGTTCGAAGTATTGAGGATCCCGCGCCTCGAGAAGCATCGTTGCGACGGCGCCGGAGCTAGCGTCTGCTCGGATCCAGAGATGAAGGGCTATTCGAGGCAACGTTGAGCGCGCGCTTCTCCCGTAGGCTACCCCGAAAGTAGTTATTCACCTTCATCGCTTGAAAGTCCACGGGCCTCCTCTTCCCACACGGATGTATCCCATCTGGCGTTGAGCAGCCTCGTTCGGAAGACGAGCGGGGTCGTGATGGCACCATGTAGCAAACGATTCGAATGCGCGAGAGAAAGTACATCTCGGGCCGTCCAAGCTGATATCGCAACGTGCTGTACGAGTTCAGTCGGTAGAGACAGCAGTGAGGTAGCCTTATTCATGACGGTCGTGGGGGATATTGGCAACATGGAAATGCTCAATTATAGGTGGTGGGGTGAAACAACCCTTATTGTCGCATCAAGTGCCCGTCGCGGACATGACGGAGATGATCGGCCGTATCTAATCAGCCGGGTCAGCGCCACCAAGTCGGGACTTCAAGAACGACCGTCCGACCACCATCATCTCCGACGAGCGGACTTCGGGATCTGCAGTATCTTTCTCCTTCGATGGCTACACATACCGAGGGCCACCCTGCTGTGCTCACCATCGCTGGATCGGACTCTGGCGGAGGCGCGGGCATCCAAGTACGCGTTCAGTACCTTTCTGTACGAACTATGGAAGACAAATGGCAGGCGTAGGCCGATCTCAAGTCATTCACAGCACTGCAATGCTATGGTGCCAGCGTCATCACGGCGTTGACTGCTCAGAACACTCTCGGTGTACAAGACATCCATTCTGTCCCGCCGTCCTTCGTCACGAAGCAGGTTGGAACACTCGATCAATCTTTCATTCGGATCTCAACATAGGCATGACTAGATGGATTCTGTCTTCAACGACCTCCCTATCCGTGCCATGAAAACCGGGATGCTGTCTGACGCTGGAGTGGTCAAGGCTGTCGCAGACGCCCTCAAAGCACGCTTCCCGGACTCTTTCCGCCCTCCCCTCGTCTGTGATCCCGTTTCAGTGTCAACGTCCGGGCACAACCTCTTGCAACCAGACGCTGTGGATACTCTGATTACCGAGCTTGTACCTCTCGCGACGGTAATCACCCCCAACAAAAGCGAGGCTGAACTTCTTCTCCGTACCATCCATGGCAATGAACGCCCCATCGAGAATTTAGAAGACATGTTCTCGGCCGCTCGCGACCTGCTGAAGCTCGGCCCGCGCGCAGTGCTAGTAAAAGGTGGTCACCTCACCACTACTTTCTCGCTAGTGAAGCAGGCCATCTCGGCACACCCCGACGTTCGCGTGCAGAGGGATGGTATACTGTCCGAGAACATGGAGATTCTGCAAGTCGTCGAGCCTAACCTCCAAGACGCTTCACTCGTCGTGGACGTGTTATGCGAGGCTGACGGACACACGACAATGTATCTCAGCCAGCGTATTGAGTCCAAAAATACACATGGAACTGGTTGCACGTTGAGCGCCGCTCTTGCGTGCGGGCTTGCTCGCGGTCTGTCAGGTACGTCCCACAACAGAGGTTCTCGCACCCGTACTAACGAGAGGCCCTACAGTTCAAGACGCCGTCGCATTTGCGTCTGCGTATACACATCAGGGAATTGCCAGTGCCTTCCCTATGGGATCCGGGCATGGTCCACTGAACCACATGCATTCTGTTGTTCCTCGTATCATTCCTCAGTTCGTGTCTCTTATTAACGGCATATGGAGTATCTGCTGAGGTATGCCGCAGGCCGACGGCTACCAACCCGCATCCATTCGTTCGGATGCTCATCGCGAAGACGAAGGTCATCTGGAAGCAGTACGTCGAGCATGACTTCGTGAAACAGTTGGGCCGCGGCACATTGCCCCGCGAAAGCTTCATCCACTTTCTGAAGTGAGTGTCCCGTTCTTCCAACCCTACCTATTTCTGATGGTCCCTCAATCAGACAGGACTACCTATACTTGAAGTACTACTCTCGAGCACATGGGTCAGTCACGCATATACGCAGCCTTAAACTCACGCTGATAGGCGTACAGTCTCCTCGCGGCGAAGTCTCCAAGCTATGATGCAGTCGGGCGATCAGCTTCGATCATTCTTCACATCGTCCAAGAGAGCACGATGCATAAGGCGTACTGTGAGAAGTGGGGCATCACGAACGATGAGTTAGAGAATGGCGTCGAATCTGCGGCGTGCACTGCATACGGCGCCTACATCCTTGACGTCGGTCTTCGAGGCGACGCGTCGCTTCTTTTGATGGCGCTTGCGGCGTGCCTGCTTGGGTATGGCGAAGTTGGTTTGTGGCTCAAGCGCGAGGCTGCGCTCCCGAACAGTTGGGTCAGGCTCGAAGGCAACCCGTACTTGAAGTGGATCGAAGACTACTCCGGCGAGGATTATCAAGCCGCTGTCAGGGATGGTCTTGGTGGGTACATCACATGCATGCCATTGACGGTTCGCTGATGATCTTTTCCAGCTCGCATCGAGGCCATGGCAGCGAGCGATCCGCCCTCTCAGGAACGCTTCGACAAGTGGTGTGGCGTGTGGGAGAAATGCACGCGTTTAGAGAAAGGCTTCTGGGACATGGGGCTGAACTTGTCGATGTGACGTTGGAGAGCGAGGGTACATCTAGAAGTGATATAGACACGTCGCCTATACGTAGACCTATGCTTATGCTTAACAATATATTGCAGATCCACGGTATGCAACAAACACAGCAACATGACACCAAAGTGTGATACGAGTAGACAGGCTACATCAATAGTAATGTAGGAAGAGTAAGGACAGGCTTGCGCCAATCAGGAACAGCAAGATCCACTTGCGACTGTCCGCTGCTCGCCGTCGAGCTTCACGTAGTTGTACGTTGCCCGTCTCAACATACTCCGCGCTAGCAACCGCATCCTCGTACAGTTGATCCGTGAGCTCCGTCTGCCGCGTGAGCTGGTTGACAAGTTCGACTTGCAACTCCCCAATCTCCAACAGTCGTGCTTCAGCTTGTTGAACGGCTGCCAGCGTGTCCTCGACATTGCGAAGAATCGCGGCGTTCTCTGCCTCAAACAATTGGATCTGCGAGGCGGAGAGCTCGACATCGTCCTCATCTTCGTCCGATGAAAGGTCGAAAGCTTCTGGTGGCAGGGACGATGGCACCGAGCTCGGTGTGCCGGTGATCCAACTACTAGCGAGACTTGATGCGTTTCCGAGCCATCCGCCGGATGGGCCTGATGCTTCTGACATGGGCGAGGGCTCGCCAATGCTCATATACGCCGCTTCTCGTCCAGCGCCAGAACCCAAGGTACGTGACCGCTCGGTCTGACGGCGCACCCGCTCCTCCTGCATCTCCCTCAAGTTTTGGCTCGTTTCGGCAAGGCGTCGGGTGAGAAACCATGTCACCCCAGAGTTATGGGCGGCGACGAAGTCGGAAACAGCGGAAGACGACTCGGCCTTCAGCCGTGCCGGCAATAGCCTCATGAGAGGGTTGGCCTCCTGCGCAACAAGTTCAGATCTTCCTATAGTGCAAGTTAGAATCGCGATGCGATATGATCAGAGAGGAAACGAACGTTTCTCCAACGCCTCCATCTCCTTGACACGATCCGCGCACTTAGACAAGACGATGCGAGCCTGCATGTCGATCTGGTCGCGCTCCTCGTTCGACAGATACTTGACATCCGACCATGCCTTCTCATCGGCTGGATCGAGTACACGCGTTTGCCGGGTCAATGGCGGTGGACGCGCATGTACATCCAAGTAGGGCTTGCGTATGTTCGAGAGCATGCGGCCGAGAGTGCCGATATGGGTCAACTATGGCTTCGTTCAATACATACACAGGTATATATTTGACAGAAGTAAGCTGCTCACGATGGTGTGCGCTTCTCGCATATATTCCTGCATAAATGGTGTCGCGCCATCACGCTGCGCCTCGCCCGGAACGCGGTGCGATGGGCGCGAGAGCCTCCGTCGCTTGTTTGGCGGGAGCTCCTTGCGCTTTTCCTCTACCAGCAGTCTAAACTCCTGACTTGAGTCGTGAATGGCCATATCGGGATGCGAAGATGGCAGGAGGCAGCGCTTATGCGGCGAAGAAGGATGTGGTCGTGAACAGAAACGTGTTCGTCTGAACGCGGTCTCGTGGGCGCGTGCGAGACTCTGCTTGAACAGCAACCACCATGATCAATAGCCATGCGAAGCTCCTCGGAAGGCTCCGAGCTCGAGACCATACATGCTCCATGCTCTCTGTGTGTCCTGCGGGACAAGTATGGCTGTGAGCTCTCGCTGTTCTCGCGCAAGACCAAGCACATTTCAAGAGGCACGTATACTTCCTGCGCTTGAGCGCTTGAGCCTTCGTCTACAGTAGCTTCGGAGGACTTGGCGAGCATCTCTACTTCACGGCTCAATGCTTTGACTTAATGGGCGCAATATTGCTCGGCCTCTCAACCGGATTGCTTCATGAAGTCGCATGGAGTGTATCATGACACCCTTCCCGCATCATCAGCTTATACGTCGTTGCTTTCAGCACCTCTACATGACAAGTACATTCTGAGGATGCCAATGTTCAACGGGCTCGACAGTTTGCTACTTCAGACGTGGGGCCCACTGGAATGCGAAGACTGCGAATGTCGTCAATACACCCCCATACAGATACATTGAACATACTGGGTCACCCTGTTGAACATTTGTATGCCCGCACAATTCTCGTTTGGGTTGATGCAAATGCAACCCGTGCTCCGTGAACAGTGCGGGATTATGGCCTGAGGAGCTGGTGCAGCCGCAATAAGACTGGTAATAGCGGCGAGAACGAGGAGAGTGAGCTTGATTTGCATGGTAGTTGGGGCGGCCCGGGGTGGGTGGTGCGTCTGTGGACGTGTAAACCATTCTACAGCCAGAGCCCGTTATATGTAGACTCGCGATCGATATCTACCCGCTGTCTTCGACGGTCAGCGTATCCATCAGGCGAGCCTCCGCGTCGAGCGCTTGAGTATGGCAGGGCTGTGACCTGTCGGGGCACGCACATGTTGTGTGCGAAGTAGACTCGGCTCATTCCAAACGTATATGACATCCGTGCGAGATCTCCAATTCGCGTTGTGCTTGGCTCACTGGATGCAGTAGAACCTCTGCTGGCTTGAAAGCGCCGTCACCAACTTACCTCCGCAAATGCGGTACTGAACGACATATCAAGGACCTTCCGAGGATGTCGTATCGCATACAGCTATCACTCAACAGTGGATGCAACGTTATGTACATTTTACGCATTCCTTTCTCTATCGGACGGCTTAAGACAGCTCGACGCATTCACTGGGAATCGTCCCAGAATACATCGACACCAACTATGGGCTTGCGGCACCATAAGAGACGTTCAGAATGGTGCTATCCTTGACAAGGAGTCGGGTCTAGAATCGCCCTGTCAGCATAGGCGGATCAAGAGAACTACCCGCAACGCGTACCGTGGTCTTCGAGATGAGTTCAGTCTAACGTGTGGGCAGTGTTGGAGGGCAACCATCCACGCAGGGTGGGCTACATTCCTCGCCGAGGCAGTTGCGCGATGAGAGCGTTGGTGTGATTGGTATGGCTCTGACGAGGCCGATGGCCACGGAGACGATGAGAAGGGTGAGCTTGAACTGCATGATGACGGCGACTCAAGTGCGCTTGGCGTGGTGCACCAAAGGTCGTAAAGCGGTGATCTGTACTCTGCGCACATGTTGGTTGCTTATATAGCAAGCCATGATCCATCTGCACCCGCTGGCCGTGTCAATCCGCTGTCAGCGGGATCCTGCCTACAACTGTCGCCACTAGATTAGACATGGGTGAGCTGGTGTCAACGTCCACAGAAGCTTTCCGCTCTTTATCTCACGAAACCGCTTGACTTCTCACTACGCAGCACCACTGCAAAAAGCTTGAGGACGACCCGGGCCCGGGTGCACTCGGAAGTCCCACTCAGTTCAACCTGTGGCACATCTAAGACAAGCGGCACGTGCGCAGCCTGCTGAGCTAAAGTGAAAGAAAGATAGGGCAGACATCGCAAGCATTCATGATCGTGGCGGGAGAAGGAGGGACGGTCGCCGACTCGTCGCGGCGCGCGCACTCGTGTACCCATCAACCTGCCGTGGGAGCGATGGTCGTCGGTACTTACCTCTTTCTTGCCGTTGCCGAGTGATACTGGGTTGATATAGACTGGGCGCGCCGAAGGTAATCGTAACTTGTTTGCAAGTCGCTGCGCTCGAGCAAGTCATTACTGCGGTGGCACAACATAATATCGAACTACAGTCACAAAGGGGCGTAGCCGGGATGAGTCTACATTCGTCCTATATGATCATATCCTCGACATCGGGAACACAAGCGCCGAGTCAAGGTCCCGTACGACTCTACAAACGCTGAGTGGGTGCAGGCTGAATACCGCACAGAACCATCAATGAAAGTCGGACGACAAATGCTTCATTGGGACGTACCGACTCGAAGGTCGTGCAGTGTTGTCCCTCGCAGTCGACTTTAGGTGCGACGGGCGCGGCATCGACTTGTCTGACCGTAAGCGCTTCGACGAGGCCAACAGCGAGGGCGATGGTGAAGAAGGCGAGGCTAAGATTGAGTTGCATGTGGGCCGTGTATGGTGGGTAGTGAGAGTGCGTTTGGGTCTCTGGGTGTGCTGGACGTTAGGTAGACGGTCGTGAAGGGTTTTTATACGTCGGGCCGCCTACGAGCCCCCCTCCGACGTTTCACGTACAGCGGGAGACCAGTACAGCTCCATGCCAGGCTCATACACCATTCATGCGGAGGATCGAGTCGACCGAGGAATCGTTCTTCTAGACGGAGGTATCGTGGAACCATTGTCTGCCTGGTATGGAGTTGGCTGTGAGGCACATCCAGAATAGGCGAGCTTGCTACGACTTTGAGTGAGTGCAACGTCGAACCGCATGGACACTCGGATACTCAACGGAATGGAGCCTTCGAGCCGCAGAGTCGTCTTAGACCTATAAGCTATGCATTGGTATGAGCCGCTGATGATCGACGTCGTTAACTGCACGGGCTCCCATAGAACAACGCACGACGCCGACCCTGCGCCGACCTTATTCGACAGATGCAGGATCATACCAACCGCATGCTCAATCACATCACACGTTCTTGATCACGCCCAAAGATTATATCCAGTATGTATATTCGATAGCGACGACGGTAAGAGAACGCAAAGCATCGAGCGGCCTAGCCGCAAACAGGCAGGGATCGTACATCAAGTACAAGCAGAGACAGGCGGGGATGATAGGGAGGTAAATAATGTATGCAGGACGTGAGCGCACGGCGCACGCGTCCTCCATTGCGCTCTTGCAAGCAAGAAGCGCGGGGGGGTCGGCAGCCGGGCCGTTAGGATCGTGAAGCCGTCAGTCGAGAATGCGCTATGGCACAGAGAAGAGCAGGTTAGAGGGAAATCCGAGAGGCGAGGGTGGTTTGAGGGTGAGTGAGTGTGCGGATGATCTCCTGATCCGTTTAGAACGTCTTGGTGATCGCGACGGAGAAGTCGGAGAAGTAGATGTCCTGGTCCTGCGGAGATGCCCAGGAGCTGTCCGAGCCTGCATCATCGAATCAAATCAGCATCATGCTTTCCATGTATGATGAACAAAGAGATAGGGACGTACCGCCGAAGAACGACTGCGCCATGATGCCCTGCGCGCGCGTAGCATCCGAGCTGCTGATGATGAGGCCGTCAACCTTGATCTTGCTCTCGCCGTTGAAGTAAATCTCGATCTCGCCGTTAGCCTCGCTGCCGTCGTTGAGCTGGACGCGCATGGCAACGTCGTTCCAGGCGCCGCTCTTGAAGCTGAATGCACCGCGGCCGACCGAAGCACCGTACGTGTCGTTGCAGTCGGACTCGGGCGCGACGTCGCAGAGGACCTTGTTGGCGTTGAACTTGGACGAGACTTCCGGGTTGGGCAGGTAAGTGTACGCCTCGCCCTTGCCGTCCGTGCGCCACATGAGGCGGACGGAGGCGCAGTCGGTGTCGCGGTTGCCGCCGGAGCAGCCACGCGCGTTGTCTTCGCTCGTGCCGAAGTAGAGACCGGGGAGCTTGCCGCCCTTGTTGAAGGCAAAGTCGTCGGTGAAGTAGATGCCGTAGCCGAAGGTCATCTCCTTGGCGTTGTTCCAGTCCGAGCTGCTGGTCTGGCCCTGGCCGTACCAGCTCATGCCACCGCTGATGCCCTTGTTGAGGCCCCAGTTGCCCTTCGGGAACGAGGCTTGCATCGCGGTACGGCCGGATTGCGTCTTGATCGGGTTGCTGATCGACTTGATCTCCGAAACGATGTTAAGCGCATCCGTGGTGAGCTTGACGGCGCCCTCGAGAGCGGAGGCCATGGTCCACGAGGACGTGTCGTCCACGGGGAAGAGCGCGGCCTTGAGGGAACCGGACGAGGACGAGGAAGACGACGAGGAGGTGGAGGAAGATTCGGCTGCGGACGAGGACGACGTCGCGGACGCCTTCTTGGTCGAGGTCGCGGCAGCGGCGGAGGACGCCTTGCCCGTTGAGGATGCGGACGCGGACTTGGACGTCGCGGCCGATGCCGCGGCAGAGGTCTCCGCGGCACGGTCTGCGGCTGCCGATGTTGATGCGGTCGGGAGGGCAGAGGCGAGGGAGATGGCGGTGGTGGGCTTGTGGGAGCGGCACTTGCCGGCGCTGCCGCTGGCCGAGGCGGTGGCGTTGTTCGCGCGGCGGTTCAAGGCGCGCGAGTTGTGGCGGGAGGAGCGGCGGGAGCCGTGCGTGAGGGATGCGTCGGCACCGAGGGGGGCGAGGGCGGCAAGGCCTGCAAGGACGAGGGTGGCTGCTTGGAACATTGTGATTGCTAGAGAGCGGGTCGTGATACTAAAGAGGGACGAGGGCGCAAGAGAGCGAGCGACCAGAGAGACCAGATAAAGAGAGAGCGCAAGCACAAAGGCAGACCACGAACAATGGCAACCAGCAACCAAGGGAGATCTAAAAGCTCACAAAAAGATGCCGTCGTCGGCTTATGTACCAAGTCCAACAGGCACCGTCGCGCCCTCCACGCGAACCTAACCCGAAGAGCGCCGCCTCGAGGGCGTCCGGCGTGACAGCTCCCTCCGGCCCATCAGAGAAACTCAAAGAACACGGCGTGGACCTTCCGTTTCTCCCTGGCCAAGACACACTGGCCTATACAGTCCTATTTCTTACTCCTCTAGCACCGCAGTGTACGGACGTCGAGATGGCATCGTACGAACAATACGTCGCTCTCCGCAGCTACCGCGGAACAAGCGTCAACAATTGAGGGACCGAGAACGGCAGGCTCCGTTTTTGACCGTGTGCTTTACTTACGCAAAAGGGTGGGCCCAGAAGGGCTTGGCTTGTGGTGCAGATGAAGACAGAAGAACAAGGCGCTCGACCAATGCAGAAGAGGGGTCCGATCAAAGGGAGCCTGGGCGGGGTGGCGGCATCCGTGCCCGTTGGCGGGAAACAAGCGCGACTCGCGTCTTCGTCGGCGCCTACTTCGACGTTGCTTCGACGAACCGCAGCCGGCAGTCGCGCTGTGCGGCTGAATAGTACGCTGTATGCACATCGACGACGCTATGTAGCCGGCTCGTTCTGCAGACAATTGCTATCACATCGCACACATGGACCTACATTCTACCCCACATGCGCGCGATCCGCGTCAAAGTAGTTGCCATCGGTACAAGGGTCGAGGAGTACAATGAGGAAGTGGAGAATCCCCGAATGCTTCGTCAAGGGTTGACGCACGTCGTGCTTATCGTCGTAGCCATCGCCCTGAAGAACAAACAGCGCTTCGACCTTGTTCGCGATGGCGGTCACAGCCCCCGTCACTGCGGAGATAATAAACCCGAAATCCGCACGCACGTTCTCCCGACTTTGATCTCCACCACCGCGCGCTGACACTAGGGCTGTCTATTCAGAAGGGTTGGGCGCTCAGACGACTATGTGCTAAGTCTACAGAACGACACCTGGACGCCGTCGTTTCGCTTCTGACAGACATCTTCGATGCTAGACAAGCGAAGGTTGTATACATAGAACGCCATGTTGTGCGAAGGACCATTACATAGAGTACTGTACGGATTGTGATGGCCAGATTTTGCGAGAGCTTCCATCAGAGACCAGCATCTACAGACTCCTCTTCTTCAAGGCAGACAACGGTACGAACTGAGCGGTATCGAACATGCCCCTCTTGGTTGTCTTTTCGGGTAGCCCACCCGCGCCTTCCACACAGTACTTCTTGTGCGCCTTCCAGCCCTGATGATACGCAATCAACGATGGCCCGTTGCCGTCCTCTGCATAAGACGTACCGTGATCTGACATTGCCTAGAGCAATATACAGGCTTATGCTGAAGCGGGCACTTCCCAGAGCATCGCTTGAGTGAGTTCTCGTCCGTCCCTCGTCCGCCACATCCCGCCCTCGCACACACCTTCGCACGTGTTCCGTACCGCAGACGCACTTGTGCGCGCACTGTATAGTCCAACCAGACAAGCTTGAACTCGTGCAGTCGCTCATCGCCGCTCGGATCGTGCTGCCGTCCAAGGTAATCATCTCGGTCAAGATGAAAAGCTATCGCCTCGGCGATGCGCAAGTCGATTGGACATGGGGTCTGGGGTGGCTTGTTACCGTTCGCGACGCGCTCGATCCACAGCGCGCGTCCGATCCTGCGTGCCCCCCAGTACAGCATGTCGAGCTTTGAGCCTTGATCGATGTCCTCCCCGCAATACATCATGTAGAACATGATCCAGGCGTTCAGGCGCTCAGCTGCGGCGTGGATGTTGACTTCCCAGGGACGGACACCCTCTGCCTCACTCACTTCCCTGGCAAGCTCTAACGAACGGTCGAAGTCCCCTGGCACAGTGCAGCCGCTTGCGTAGCTATCGGCGTGGATGAGATTCATGAATCCTGTGTGCGGGTGTCACACGTACCGCATCGCGAGCTCCACGCGCATCCATAGATCCCCTGCGTCGGCGTCCGCTTATACAGTCTCCAGCGGAAGCGCCTCCAGACGAGCCTTCACGGTATCGACTACGTCACTCGTGATTGATAACGTGCACGAGCCGCTTTCTGTCAGCTCTCGCAAGTCGACGTCGTAGTCCCATGTATCATCGACGATGGGTGAGATGTCATATAGTAGACAGGCAAATGTCTGTAAGGCTTGTTCTGTTGGATGAGGGTCCGACATCGAAGCGTTACAAGCGGGTAGATGATGGCAGGTTTCAAGCCTACAGCGCTTGATAGTGGAGAAGGCAGGTGTGAGAAGTTCGGGGTGGCGACAGCCAAACCGTGAATAGACGCTTGTGTCCATACGTTCTCATGTTCTAGATCGTTCTCTAGCCCTGCGATGAGCGACGTGACAGAGGATATTCTGCAGTCGCACACCTAAGATACGTGCGCTGGCCAGCATAAAGCACGCGAGAAAAGAGATTAGATGAATAGCAGCTCTATTCAACTGGGGTAGCTTTGTGTGACGCAGATCAGGTATTATGGGGAGTATACTTCGCGAGAAGCGCGAAGAGTTCACTGCGCCACAAACAAGCTCCATAACCCGATGCGTAAGTATACGATGTCGGCGGACTCGCCGACATGGAAGGAATGCGTATCGAACCGGGTATGGTCATTCGGATTGGCTTTGTGCGGTCTGAGCATGGAACGCCAAATGGCCGATACAGGTACAAAAGTGACCTTCTCCATATTGGATGGACAGTAATATAGCATGTTCCTACGTTACCAGGGCATCAGTGGAGAGTTTTAGAGAGCAAAGCTTGGGCTTACCGCATGTACTCTACGCCAGTCCAACTAATCTCCTCACTTCTAGCATGGTCTTCCCCGCTCTTTCGCTCGCCTTCTCCGCGCCCTTCTTAGCAACATCCTCCAAGAACCCTCTATCCTCCCTCAGTCGCTCAAATTCCTCCCTCGGCCCTTTCATCTCCTCAACAAGCGCTTCAGTAAGCTCCTTCTTCAGAGCTCCATGGCCATTAAATCGCAGTGCCAGGATCTGCGGAAGTTCGCCCGTGCAGGCGGAGAGTAGATCCAGAAGATTTGCAGTTCCAGGGCGTTCGACAGGGTCGTATGTTATGCCTGGGACGGAATCTGTAACCGCGCCTCGAATCCTAGTAGCGATGTCCGCGGGCGAGTGGTTAAGCTCGATCCGAGACTTCGGATCCCTTGCGGACTTGGACATCTTCGCGCTTGGATCTCTCAAGCTGAGTATGCGTTTCGCCGGCGTAGTTTGTACATTCGGGAGTGGGAAGAGCGGTTTGGCGCGGGTGAAGGAGCGGTTGAAGGCATCGGCGATGTCGCGCGTGAGTTCGATATGTTGCGCTTGGTCGTCGCCCACTGGCACGTGCGTCGTCTTGTATAGCAGGATATCGGCCGCTTGCAAGACGGGATAGGTCAAGAGCCCGGCGTTCAGAAGCGACTCGTCGACTTCGCTCTCGTCGTTCGCGCCTCTTGATACGGCCAAGCGACTCTTCCACGTAGTCATCCTCTGCAGCCTTCCCACGCTCGTCAAGCAGTTCAGCACCCATCCCAGCTCCGTGTGGTATTGCACGGCATCTTGGTGGAAGACTATTGAACGTGACGGGTCGATGCCGACTGCGAGGAGAAGGGCGAGCATGTCGTGTCTTGCGGCGAGGAGAGCGGATGGTGATTGTGGGAGAGTCAGGGCGTGCCAGCCTACTATCGAGAAGAGTAGGGTGTCATTTGGTGATGCAGTGTTTTGCAGATGCACCCAGTGCTTGAGCGCGCCGAAGTAGTTGCCCAACTATATATTCAAGATTGCTAGTCAGACTTGACTTGCTGGTTTGATGGGTGCTCACATGAGGGATGCCTGTAGGCTGTATGCCGCTGAATATGACTTTCGGTTTTGGACTATTATGGCTTGCTTGAGTGGAGAGATGACGGCGTGAAGCAAGTCGCGGAGCGCGACGGAGGGAGGAGAACATGGATGAGTGCGCGTGAGACGCGTCTGATGCAGAGGCACCGCGTGTGGCGCGCGGCTTGCAAGCGTCCCACCACCTCGTATGGAGACCATTCGACTCTACGAGGGTAGACTGAGGGCAGGCTCACCCTATGAAGCGCTTCCGCCCACGTGCAGCTGCATATCTATACCAAGCTGCCATTTCCGTCGGAATGGCTTGAAGGCCCGTGGAGACCTAGTTCTCCCTGGCCTGTGAGTTACGCTGTACGCGTCGGAATAGCGACGCCGTATGTCACTTTCTCTGAACTCTGGCTCGACCAACGCTACTGTGAGGCTCGCGAGCCTGTCAAGTCCCCTTGACACTTCTCCGCGTGCTGCATCTACCTGTCACTCGGAGGCTTCGGGCCGGGTTCTCGCTCCCGATCCGATGGCCGAAGGGGAGAAAGACGCGAGTTGGTTCGTGAAGCCATGGCCGACGGTCTTCCCGGTGGCGACGACTGGATAGATGTTACCGACTTATTTCGAAATGCCGCGGACGGTGCGTGAATTCCTGTCTAATGCCAACATATATTGATCAGCTCTGCAGAGATGGATCCGGAAGATGTCCTGCTCGTCGACGGCTTTACGCTGTACGACGCGATGACCGCCCTTGAAGTGTGCCATGCCTTTACGACGCCGGATGTAGTCTAACCATATCCAGATCGGCGATTCGCGAATGGACACGGGCGTCATCCTCCCGGCTCAAGCTGACCGACCTGCGTACGACCCTCAGTCCCCATTACTTCCCTCCGAACTATGCTGGCTCCTCGACCGCTCGTTCGCCGCGGAGATGCAGTGGCACAAAGGCCACACGCTCTCCCAAACAGTCTTCACCTTCCTCCCCATACACAACCTCGACGCCCTACACCCCGATACTATCCCCTTCGCGCTCCAACGAGATCCCGAACGCCCGATGCCACTCGTCACCATCGTCTTGAGAGCCGCCGTCACAGCGCTCTTGAAAAGCGTGGACCTCGCGTGGAGAGAGCTGGCAATGGGAAGGGTATATGACGTCCGTAAATCTAACTTCCTGTCTGAAGGACTACGCTGATATGAGTAGACAGAGGACTGGCAGTCGGAGAAGGCCGAGGTCTCGCTCGATGAAATCACACCCGTCGGCACCGCGCTCGCCCGACTTGACTTTGCAATTTCCTACTTGACCAACTCGGCACCGAGTATGTGTGCCCTGCTTTCACAAATGGATGCGGTACTGACTGTTGTAGGTGATCTACCGTGGCGGGCGGAGATCGTGACGAGGTTACGTCTACGTCAGGTACGGGCGCCTATCACTTCGCCGCTTGAACCCATTCTAACTCCATTCTCCAGACTCTCCTGCAGCTCCAGCGAGTAGTCCCTACACGAGATCCATCGACGCTGCGCGCTCTCCTCACCCGTGCCCGCTCATGTCTGAACGACGTCCTCATCAGCACGCCTCCACCAGAACCCGCGCCCGACTCCCCTGCCGCACTCGCCTTCGACCCCCACATCGCCCGCCGGTTGAGCGGCACAATACCCCTCCAACCTCTCACCCTCCTCCCTCAAGCCGACGCATGGTCCACACTCGACGCCCTCCTCACTGGCTACGAAGACCTGCACGCCCTAATCCACGAACCCACCCTCTTCACCTGGCGTCTAATCGGCGACCTCCGGCACACCCCATCCGCCCCCCTCGCCAAACCCACACCACCCTCATACATCCGCTCCCTAACTCAATCATCCTTCTTCGACGGCTACCACGTCCTCGGCCAAACGGCCTCCAGCAGCCTAATCGACAAATTCTTCTTGGAAACGCTCGGGACGAGCTTCCCGTACCCGCTGCTGCCGGTGCAGCACCCGCCGAGTCCGGCGCGGAGGACGCTGAGCCATTTGCAGAGTCATATGGTCAAGACGCTCGCGAGGGATGTGCAGAGCGGGTGGTTCAACCCTCCCCGACGTCGACGGCACCTATCGAACACGCTGTTCGATTGGACGTATCTATACTTCACCACTTGCGACCTCGTCAAGCTCATACACGAGACGCCGCTCGACCCGCCGTTGGACGAGAGGCAGGTGGAGCTGTTGGAG